TATTTTCTGACGTCATCAATGATTTAAGACTTATAACAATCCATTTAATGTTATAAATTATCCTTTAATGTAATAAGTAATCATTTAAAATGATTTATTACATAATTATTAATCAGTATATACTTATAATTAGAATAGCAATGGTTAGCATTTAGTACGCTGTTTTACTACTAACATAGAATTTAGTAGCACTCCTTCATTTTGGCTGTATTAATTTACAGAGTTTTAAATTAATTTATTTACTAAATTATTGATTTTAATCTATCATTGCATTGCACTATTTATGTCAGAATCATTTTTATAATTACCGAGCGTACAATCATCCCATTATTAACGTATGTACGACGTTTTGATATAAAATTAAAGACATAAGTAAAAGGATAACTTAATAATGTATATGTTAATATATTATATATATATACGCGAATATTAACTTAAGAATGTAGCCATGGACCTGTGCTAGTTCTCGGTATCTTCTCTATAGTCTAATCGCCATAGCAGCTATTATCCTCCTCAGCCCAAGAGCTAAATGGTTTATGTTTCCTTTAAGTACTGATAAACGTCAGTTCTTCAAATTTCCAGTATGAGGCAATATCTGAACATTTTAAACTTTTGAAATCTGCAATAGTTCCAAATCATGAATTGAACTTCTACAATATTACGTAATAATAACCACAAATACTGGACATTCAAATAGAGCCAGCGACCTAACTGCTGTTGAAATGCATTCATATAATGAATCCAAATTTACAAACGTATAGATTTAAAATTCACGTAGTACAAGAGGCTGATTTAATTAATTATTATGGTTGAAGATAGTATATTTATCAGATAAATTTTTGAAATTTTACAAGAATTAATTCATCTTCATTAGCATTTAGTAATCTACAAATTCGTAGATTAGGAAGTATGCCTAAAAATTGAATTCTATTAACCTTAAATATTGAAACCTTACGGAAATTAATTGTATATGACAAATTTCAATATATTGCATCTGTAAAAAGTCTAGCCTCTTAATGTAAATTATATTTAATGCTTAGGGCTGCAACTTAGGCCTAAATTAACTATTGCTGTTTTCTTATTTAAAAATAAATCTACAAATTTTACAAAAATTATAACTAAATAAACATTAAACTCTAAAGTTAACAACTTATGTGAAGTAAAATATCAGGGTTCTGATATATATATATAATATATATTAGATTAATTCAAGGAAAAGGTTCTTCACTTTGCTCTTGTAAGTAGGGATTTTTATGTACTAATTCGAACGGTTATTATTACAACATGGCTTTTGCAAGACAATTCTTAGGGCATTCATACTTGATATAGCTCTAATTTTTCTAAATAAAATACCTACATTCATACGAATAGAGGCCCTTGACATTTATACGCCATTTTAAGGCAAAATAGATAAATATTATTAATTATGTTTGCACGTTTGAATGCTCTATAAAGGTATGTTGGTTAGTGCTTTGAACTCAATTCTGCACATTTATTATGCATGTCCCAACGAATATTAATGCCCTTAATGGTTAAGCAATCTAGTGCATATTGTTTCTGGATTTTGCATGCGCATACTTCTGCACTGCTGTAAGGACAATCATTGCATGTTGTGTTCAAACATAATTGATGATATTTATTTCGATCGATAGTACAAGGCAGGAAATCAACTTGGTAAATCCACATGCAAACTGCAGCTGCTTTTTGAGGTAAAAATTTTTTACATGATGTTGGTAATAAATGATTACCTTTAAATTTGTTGCAACCTTTGCCAACTTTCCACTTTAGTAAAAAATCTTTTAATTTGGTTTTACTGTTTCCATTAATAATAGAGATATCGTCATTCTTATTGCCGTTGTAATTGCCACAAATACCACCAACTTTTCCGGCATAATCGGGTGAAGCGTATACTCTTAGATCAGATTTTTTACTAAATGTTAGTTGCAATCCAAAATTAGTTTTGACTATAATTGATTTCAAGGAAGATGAGGTCTCAATTTGGAGTAAATTGGATTGGTGATAAGGCAAATTGACGCTGCGTTGATTATATTTTACTCTCATTGTTGGTAATAGTACGATTTGGTTAGAATTTCCAAAGTATAGGTAAACATGGCTTAATAGTGGCTTATTATCAGAGCTACGAGCTCCAAACCGGCCTAAAATGGTGAAATTTGCCAGAGCTGGTTTACAACTCTTGGCGATGATATATTTGCAGCCGCCATTTATTGGATAATTGTGCTTATCAAATGTTCTAATATGAGCGGAATTAAATTCTTGATAAACTCGGCATGTATCTGTAGCTGTATTGGAATAATAAATTAGTTAATAAATTCTAAATAGTTGGATACTTTGCTATTCAAACCTTTAAATATCTAAATTTTGTAAAATTACAAAATACCTGAGAAGCATCTTACTGGACAGCACTTCCCAGGGAGAAAATATGGTTGCTTGCCCTAATTATCAAACATTGGTATTTAATAACTTTATTAGTCAGCTTTAACTAAAATATCGACGTCACAGTCAACATAAAGCAATACCGTTAAATACTAAGATTTTGCTGATATTAATCACATTTATCTAGCACAATATGACAATTAAGCGTTACAATGACTTACGCTAGGGCATAGGAGTGGTGGACAGGTTATGGCTTTGCACTTTACCACGTTATTGTTACAGGAACATGTTTTACAACCTTCTTCCCATTGGCTTCCATTCTAAATTAGCGGAATTGGCCGTTACGTGAATTTTATTTAGCAATCAAATTAATCAAAATATATTTTAATGACAGTATTTTTCTTAATTTATACTATCGAATGCGCAATAAATATCACAGACTACGGTTGTGTAATTACCAAAGAAAGATACGGATAATTCACATTCAGCTACTCTCAGCAATCTATCAATGTTTACGAAAATTACTAGACAAAAATGTTTGTTCCTTGTTATGACGTTCAAACTACTACATTACTTTGATATAGAAGCTAAAGTGGTTTTACTTATTCAACGAATTAATCTAATTTGCAGCAAGACATAGCAGATCATAAGTGTGAAGACATGAGAATATGATTAAATGTATTGGAGCTACTTCTGTAACTATTACTGTAATTAAAATCGGTCTCATGATACTCCACTCATTTACAATATTGTACTTACTTGGTATCTAAAGCCATTCAATTCACAATTTACAGTAGATAACGCTAAAAAAATGAAATATAAATATATTTATATTTTGTTCTTATAATTCAGCATCACGGTCGCTATGCGCAAAAAGGTATGGTGCTTATAATTTATTATTAAAGTAATTCTAATAGAAATATCAGGTACCATCGATAGCAAAATTACTGCCGACTCTTTTAGTGATTTAAATATAATTATAAGATATGTATAATATCATAATTTAAATTTAGTAACTTTATTTGCTTTACCGAGACATTTCGAGCAAGGTTTAGATATTTCTTTTTTGGTTTCACATAGGCTAATGGCTTGGGAAACTTTCTTATTGCAAGTTGCTGTAGAGTTCTGTGAATTCATCGTAGCCAAATTGGTATTTTAGTATGTGAGTTAAGATAATATTATTACAGAAATACGCTTTCTTAAATTTTAAGAGGTTAATATGAGACTCACCCGGCATTTACAACGACTACATGAATCCAACTCTATAATTTGTTCATTCATCATGAATTTATTATTGACTGTACATGATCCTGGAAAAATTATTTCTCTCGGTTTAGCTGAAAGTAAATAGAAGGCTCTATCAAAATATTTACAACTTGCGACCTATATAATTGAGTGACTGTAAGAATTGAAGTCAAATAATTAGCAGACGACTTGAAATCATACTTGAACAGATTTGACAAAATAAACCAGGCTCATATTCAACCACCACTCGTGTTTCTGGATGGCAAGATAATATCGGGCAGACTTTTTTCATACATGTCAAGACCTTCCCCTATTTATGCAAATTTCCATTTACAAATAGCTTATTGAGTAACTTCGTTGAAGCCACTTAGCAGGTATATTAATAACCAAACTCTTGAAATAATAAACTATTAGCTATAATATTAGTAGATGATAGTGATACTAAATTAGTAATTTTATCACTTAGTATTTGATTGCAAAATATGTATTATATTGAAATTATAACTTTTTTCTCCTATTAAGATAGCTACTACTGTATAAAATGATAAAAGTTTGGTACCTTTATATAATTAGTAATTTGTATTGATTTACCTTACAGGTACATATAACGTTTTTGTCTGCTAATGGTGCAAATAATTCTCCTTCATTATATTTTTTCCCATGAAATTTGCATTCTAAGTGAAACCAAAAATACCCATTTAATAAGTAAGAGGACCAATAAATTTTCTGCATTTAAATTTGATGTTATATACAAAAACTCTTTTATAAAAAACTATCAATAAGCTAAATTATTTTGCTATATAAATATATTGAATTGAGATAATCACTTTCTGCAAGCGCAGTATAAATTAAAAAGATTTAGCAGTTATCTTAAATTTCAAGTATGAATCAAGATCTAGTTTAACGAAGTCTTAAAAGTCCACAAGATGTAATTACTTAATACACAAGGATGAGTAATACTTAAGCAATGTAGAAGTGATTATTTTTAGATAATAAGAAGCAAAAAAATATCTATTTAGAATCGACATCTTGTCTTTCAAATTAATACCCTCGTATTTAAAGTCACTCACTTTCACAGATTGGACATTCATGATTATCCAGATAGATAGGGTTTTTACACGGCACGAAGCATTCGATTTTGTGCATGGTTATTAACCCATTCTGTATCAATTAAAATGAAAGTATACTCGATGTATAAAGTTATGGCCATGATTAATGATTATGTACTAGATATTACAAATCCGATCATATGTATTAAGAAGTAAGTTTTTTAAATAGACATAATAGGGGTGAAATACGTTAATCAATCCATGGTCAATGTAGCAGAATTTCTCTATAATATTAGTATTAACTTTCTAACGACTGTGTCTTTTGTATTGCAACATGAGATCTGAATTTTTAAACAGACATGAATATATTGCATATCTTGTGGCTAAAATTTATGGTAACTAGGGTGACCCACAAGTTAACGAAATCGATACATTAATCTTGCCCTTAGTAAAAGAATACTTCAGTAGAAATTCTTAGGTGAATACCGATTACTCTGCAAATTATTAAATTCAGTTACTACCGGCTAAATCGAAGTCTTACTTGGCATATTAATCTTTTCCAATAACTTTTCTCACCATCTTTGACTTGAATAGTCCATTTCTCGTCGTGACTATAAATGCGATTTTTAAATGTGCAACCTGAAGAAAATGATGGAATACCTCAAATTGTAGCTCATTTACAATACGGATATAGGAATTGAAATTGGTATCGCAATATGATTATAGATTACAATAAATGCAAGTCTGGTATAATAAAAAAGTGGAAATACGCGTATGCAGTACTCTTTTCAAAGCTATTTAATGCTAATATCTTTATGAATGCTAGGAAGTTAGGTAGGATAGAAATTCATATTGAGAATTAAGAAAAAAATTAGAATAGTAATTAGTAGTGATAAAATTTGCTTGAAAATCTGTAGCAATATTCTTTAAGTTATACTGACGCAGCATGTAAATATTTAGTGTGCTATAGTAGTAAGCTAAGCATAATATTCTTATGAGTCAATTTTTATCAAAAGTAAAATTTGAATTGGTTCTAATGTTTGTTAGCGGCTGTTCATGGAAATTTTTATTCAGTTCATATAAAGGTAAGGACTATAAACTAGTTTATTAAATAAGATTTACTGCAACTACGCAGGGTAATATGACAGCAGTTCTATCATGGTTTTTACTTATAAAATAACGGTTGTTATTATGAGTTGAAGAATAAATTCTGAAGGGAGAATTTATTTAATTCCTTGTTTACTTAATATGTCTAAGAGTAGTAATGCATTCATTCGGAATTGTGACATATCTTTCGAAGCAATTCAATGCCTAAATATGCTCCAATAATTTTTATTTAATGTGGTAAGACAAAACAGGCATTTAATGCAGGTTTTGAAAAGGAATGCAAATTTTTTGGTGCAGATAAAGATTATTTCCGACATGATGGTAAGTAAGGGATTACCTTTTATCATAAAATTGTTTGACGGTAGTAGCATTATATGTGATTTTATGTCTTTGGTATGGCCTATGGTTGATGATTTAGTAATGGTTGGCTAATATCTGACGTATTCTTAATCAAATAGGAAATGTAATTATTACAGAAAATGACCTGGAGATATGATACTTGTAATCATTTATCATTAAGATCATGTAATTGAAGGATTTTCAATTAAGGACAAATTGTAACATCCGGTTAAAATTAATCACGGTTACAAATAGAATATAAATAAGAAGTCAAGTCTCATTTCGATAGAAGCATATTTAGATATGTATACCACAAATAGGATAAATTAGTAAAAGAATTGTCGTAAGGATCTGTTACGTAATATCTGCATGTGAAAACGTTTTATTACCTCCGTTACAATGACACGGTAATCAAGGTGCAGAAATTATGATTATATACAGTAAATATTCAAGGATAATCATCAACTGAATGAATGATGGACTAAAAATATCGAATTCTAAAGGTTCTTGATATAAAATAACAAGAAGATGTTATTGATATGAATCAAATTTAATCACGACGTAACCGTACTCGATAATAAAACAAGTAGCTTCCAATTTTGCATTTAGGATTAGTAATCATACTACTATGCAAGGAAGATAAAATAATAAATGACAAAATTCTATTAATGTTACTTAGATATTCTTATCAATTTGATAAATATTAAAATTGCCTTTACCTTTACAAATTCGACAACAGGAGTCTTTTCGATATTCGTAAGTAGTACAACTGTCTGGTAATTTAGGACAAGTACTGCTGCAATCTGCAATTTTGTTCTATAAATACAAATTTAGAATTAAGTAAGAATAAAAACTTTATCGAGAGACCTAAACTAGATACAAAGTGATTGTCCAAGTTTTTTTGCTCTTAAGTATATTTTAGAATTTCTTATAGTCCATTGACAAGTTCAGTTTACTGTTCAACATCTACAGGAGCTACTGTATCACCTACTTTACAGACACATATAATACACAGATTTCTGGTTTTATCCATCAGCGTCTTAATAATTTCCCCTTCTTTTGAACATTTAACAGATTCACCCATAATACCTTGACCCGCTGATCGATTTTAAATGAGTAATAAAAATTATTCAATTAATTATTGAATAAAAATATAAAACTATTTCTAATACGCCAAATGCATATTTTTCGTTATTAGTCAATTTTTGAATTAAAGCTCGTTTTAAGCAAGATAAATGGTTGTAATATATTCTATAACTGTACCTGTCATTTTCACTAGTGTAGCCGTTAAGCAAGCCAAAAGTATAATAGCCATCAGATATGAAATTCCCCCTTTCATAATGGCTTAAGAGAAGTTGTCTACTAAGGTGAGGCTGTCGAAGTTGGAAAATCTTTAATATTGGAAAAAGAAATCACAATCGATAATATTAGTAAATTAGAATATTTTTTTCAACGGATTAGGTTCCAATTATGGTAATTAAAATATCTGTTCTTTATACTATCTAAATCAGCTAGAAAACGGAATGGCTACTACCAAATCTTTGCGTATATTAAAGTAGAATCTTGAGCGTTATTTTTGTCTTGAATTGTATCATGTCAATCTTAATAAGAAAAAGTCTGTTTCTAGTAAATTGTATTCCTACATTACCAATATAAGAATATAGGTGCAAGTTTTTTTATAGATTAACCTTTTATATAATATGGATGTAGTGATATAAAATGTTCCAAATCATAAATTAGAAACATATATTACTAAAATGGAATTAACTAAAATTGAAAGTAGGAACTACGAGGATCTAAAATGCTAAAATGATTTTGTTAAATAGGCATAAATAGAATTCAATCGTAAAGGGATAAAATTTAAAAATCTGAAGAATGGAAAAATCAAACGATTAGAGCAAGCAGACAAAGCAGATACTAAATATTAATTGCTATTGCAGATTGTATCTACATATATTCTGATCATGACCTTTTAAGGATGTTGTCATTGACAGTACTTGATAAGAAGGGATATTTAGCATGACATCAATCATTTAGTCATGGCGGAAATATAAACAATATATAATTTAATTTAACATGAAAAATAATATTTTAGCCAGGCAAATAACTGCAACGAAATAAAAAATGTATTATTCACACAATACTATGTTGATAAACATTGTTGATGGCGCCTTGCTAGACATTCGTACATAACTGAATTATCACTAATGTTTTAAAATCGTCTATCATTCTTTTATGTCTATAGTTGATTATGCAACAGTTATTACAATAAATGCTCCGCAAGAAATATCGACTATTATCATGCAGCCTTCTAGACGCCTTACTTAAGATCAAATATGAAGATATACATGAATAATAAAGCTAAGAAAAATTTAATTTTGAGAGGAAGAGGGGGCGGCTCAAAGATTGACAACAAGAATATTTATAGAACATAAATTTGTAACAATATTAATTATTTGATCGTCCTTTAGGATTGAAATCAACATAAATGATATAAAGAGATGCCGAAATAATACGAACTATTTTCTAACAGCTGTTGACATGATATCAATGTAGAAAAATTTTATCCTGATGGACAACTATTAAAATTAAGAAAATAGATCAACTTAGTATTGCTTAAGTAATAATTTTTTCGTGTTTTTTCATTTTCAAAACAATAGTAATAAGAAAAGTAATCAATTCAGAACAAGGAGATTTGTACATATCGTTAAGATAATAAGAGATTTCAATAACGTACAAGTCTGTGTAGAATAGACGAACTCAACAATAAGTTAATAATCATATTATATCAGTGACTACTAGATAAATGATAGAAAGAAGATCTTTCAATTGTTAAGATTTGTTCGTCATGATCAAGTATAGAAGCTGCCCTAAGTTACGTATATTTTGACAAAATATTTGCATCAAAATATTTCGGTACAGAATTTTAAATTCTTAGAAAGATAAAAAAATTAATTTCTCTAAAGTAATAGATGAGATTGATTGCTTTGGTCGGATAGTAAGTGCCGCTGTGAAGTAAAGAATAAAAGCGTGAATTTATCAATATCCGCTTTATTTCAGGTTTAGTTTTCAGTTTGCTAATAAAGAAATACATTATGACTCATCAAATGGTTAAATGGGCACTATACCTTTAAATTCAGTTATAAACTCGATTAACATAAAAGTTTATCAATAAATTTCCGTAAAATTATCAGAAGTTCGTTAATACTGTATTTAGATTAAACTCAATTTCCAATTTCTAAATGAATTTTAACTTGCATCTTTATTTAGTGCCGATAGTATTTACTGTATTAGCTAGAAATTGATTTCAGTATGTGGGTAAGGCAAGGTATACTACTTCTAATTAAAAGTATCAAGCTCATCTATTTGTTATTTAAAAAGTCATAAAAATTGAAGCAAGATATGGCATAAGAGTAGCATTATTATTGTTTTCAATGGAAATTACGCCTGCAAGATAGTCAATCTTGATCTTAAAAATTGTAATATTGCTGTAAAATCATTTTATTAGAGCTTGAGAACGTAGATTTTTCTGCAATTGAGAGAATTAATCCGTTATTTGATGGCTTTTCTGCATTAATTATTATTTTAGAAATGATTATGATAGCGATTAATGGTTTATAAAGTAATTATTTGATTGAAGATGGATAGTAAGATCTATAATAAGCTATGATTGAATCCTTTTACTGATGTTAAAAGGTTGTCACACTTTATGAAAGTGAAAATTACTTGATAATTCTTTAGCAATTTTTGTTTTTGATTTATAAACTCTTATTTCGTTACTGACACTTAAGTGATCCATGTTTCATGTGTTCGTTGTTATGTTTTAGAAATGTGCATAAGAACCCGATGTTTTTTAATTCAAATTGATTATGAAGCTCTTTAAAGATGAGATAAAATAATTCTGCATAACACAACTTGTATGTAATGGGGCAGGAAAAAGCGAAAATTACATTTTAAACGCGTTTAAAACAATGCAACTATGGAAGTAGTCGTCTCTTACTGACCAAATAGCAGCTGGATAAAGAAATTAAACACTGTATTACAGTAGTTGTTGACTATTAACTCTAGATGACTCATTTCTTGTCTTATTTTTATTGATTACAAACTAATTTGACTAAGTTATTCACTAAAACTTCTAAAATGAGCTACGAAATGTAATAGATCTAAAATATAAGCTGATTAGGCCTTCATCAATAACATAGGATTTCATGTCCAATTCTATTGATCCATTGACTTGGAATTATAAACTAAATGTGACTATTGCTAATATCATAAGTATAACCAATCGATTTAGAATCTTTATACGTGACTAGCTATAGATTTACATGGCTATGATGGCTTAGCAGTTTCATGTTATCACTCAGCTAGACGAAATATCAAACTTTACCATCAATCGATGATCTATTAGTGGCAAAAACATCAATTAACCGTAACTAATAGCAGTTATGTGGAGTGGATTGTGATTGTATAATCTTGGATATCACTAACGTTAAATATCTAGAAATAGGAAACACGAACAGGAAATTATCTATCGATTTAAAGAGATAATCTAGTGAATTAAAAGTTCTTTGGTTTATGGGTTTAGAATCATGAATTAATTATACAATAATGTTTACTGTTTCATTTCAGAAAAGAACGAAATCTCATCACCGAAACGTGATGTATTTTATATAGTGGTTATCAATAAACTTCTGGCTTCCGAACTGAATCGCAATGTTCTTACTTGTACGAATAACGTAATCTTGCAACAGTAGTAGGTGTCATTTTCTTAGTTAAAGGCTATACATGAATCATAATAATCTAGTTTTGGGATTAATTATAGCATGTAGACAGTGCTAAAGCTTTTGCTATAATCATACTGGCTGTTCAATTTATCAATTCTACCATATTTTCATAACAAATGATAACCTATTATAAATACTGAGTGTTTGGTTTTTATATCGAAAGATATGGAATTCTATTTAAACTTTCTTCTTATTATAGAACAGTCGCACTAACTTGTATAGCGAGATCGGTTTATGATACTGTATTGCGTTACTACATTTTAAACGTGATATTGGAAAATTATTTATTCGCTCTTGGTACTCCTCGAAACGTTCGTATAGCAATCCTTTTTGAAACTTAAAACAACAAATCTTCTATAGCAGTTATGCAAAAAACTTTTTGGTATTTGCTATAGGATCAATTATGATGTTATTGTTTTGATTTAGCTCTATTTATCAAGTCATAACTATGTTTATTGCTGTATCTGCTACATTTGCTCTTTATTTTAAATCTGAATTGTGACCAAGTGATCGATTTTAGAAATAGTATATCAAAAACCGATTCAAATATGCTTCATGATTATAATTACCGAAGTTTTAACTGCACTATTGTAAATATAAAGGTAAAAATATTATATCAATGCGCTGAAAGTTAAAAGTAATCCATTATGATATTTTATACATCCGTTTTTAGATAATATTATGGAGAATAAAGTTAAAAGATTATAAATATAATTTTATAGCTCCCTTCGATCGTGCACATCTGGGTTACTTTTCAAGGTTAAATGATCTATCATGTCCTTACCTTGTAGCTGCTGCCTTACTTTTTTACAAATAAAAAAAGACTCTTTATGGCTAATTGAAACTAGAAATGGATGATGGAGATAGAAAGAAGGAAAATGTCTGACCAAGATGCTCAATAAATAAGAATACTTGAATCATTCAATTGTCGATCTATTTGACAGAATCTAGTATTGATCAAGCCGATAATCGATTATTCTTGATAGTCCAAAAATTAGCGGCACTATCAAAATCAGTAACCAGTTGTCGTTGCAGTTAATATAAACGGATATTAAACTTAGCTGGCTTACATGGAGTTTATATGGCCTTTTATATACTGGTGCATTGATGAAATTTATTGACACATCATTAAATATTTCCACCCACGCTCTTTCAGTTACTAACTAACCATTCAGGGATAAACGTAGATATGAAAAGTAACATAACATGTAAATAGAAATCATATCCTGTATTCTGCTACTCAATGGTGATGATTCACCTTTGTACACATAAAATAGAAATAATGGAGCAGAGTTTTAGATGACATTTTATGATTGAAACATCATCCAATAATAAAATAGTGTGATCTGCGAAAAATGGCATGATTGGACAATGATAGAAGTAGGAAAGGTTAATTGAGAAGGCTTTACTTCCTGTTATAGCTTATCTATGAAGTATATTAAAAGACCATACATACATAAGAGGAATGATTTTTTAATCAGCCTGAATGTTGTAGTTTTAATAATATCTAATAAGATGAAAATTTCTATTTACTTAAATGATTAGTACCCTTGTA